TTATAAAATCCTTTTTCTGCTTCAATTCGTATGATCATACGGTTTTTATCTTTTTTCCTGTTAATATGGTGTACTACATTTATGGTTTTGTGTATGTTGAACCAACCTTGCATTCCTGGAATAAAGCCTACTTGATTATGATGTATAATCTCTTTTATAAGCTTTGGATATGATTTGCTAGTATCATGTTGAGAATCTTTGCATCTATATATGTCAGAGATGTTGGTATATAGGTTTCCTTCCTTGTCCTGTCCTTTTATGTTTTAAGGATAAGGGTGATAGAGGCTTCATAGAATAAATTAGAAAAAGATTCTGTCTTTTGGATCTTTAGACCTAATGAGCACTCTTCTTTGAAAGTTTTGTAGAATTCAGAAGTGAGTCCATCAGGGCCAGGGCTTTTATTTGGCGGGGGAGGTTATTTATTACTGATTCAATCTCCTGATTTGTTATGGGCCTATTCAGACTTTCTATATCCTCCTGTCTCAACCTTGGTAGAATAAATGTGTCCAGGAATTTGTCCATCTCATTCATATTTTCTTGTTTATTAGCATATAGTTGTTCATAGTATCCTCTAATGATGCTTTGCATTTCTTCTATGTTGTTATATTGCCTGCAGATTTGATTCACTTGGTTCCTTTCTCTTTTCTTCTTAATAAGTCTCACTAGAGGTGTAGTGATTTTGCTAATCTTTTCAATGAACCAGCCTTTACTTTCACTTATTTTCTGTATAACTTGTTTATTTCCTATTTTACTTATTTCTGCTCATATCTTTATTATTTCCTTTTTCTTTGAGGTTTCTGGATTTTTTTTTGCTGTTGCTTTTCCAGTTCTCTGAGGCACAATGTTAGGTGATTAGTTTGCCTTCTCTTCTTCTTCCTCTTACTTATACTAACTGCCATAAGCTTTTCTCTTATGACTGCTTTACCAGTGTCCCAAAGATTATGGAAACTCGTGGTCTCATTATCATTGACTTCCATGAATCTTTTGATCTCAGAATCTATTTCTTCAGTAGTTGAGCAGTCATTCAAGAGTACATTATTTAGTTACCATGTATTTGAGTATATTTGAGGATTTCTCTTGAAATGTAAATCAAGTTTAATCCCATCATGGTCGGAGAAAATGTTTGGTATAGTTCCTATGCCCTTGAATCTATAGAGGCTTGCCTTGTAGCCAACCTTCAAAAAGGTTCCACGTAAAGGTGAGAAAAAAGTGTTACTAGTGGGTTTTGGATGGGAAGTTCTATAGGTGTCTGCTTAGCTCATTTGGTTAATGATTATCTCTATCTATTTTTTGTCTAGATGATCTATCTGGAGGGGATAGTGACATGCTGAGGTCTTCAACAATTAGTGTGCTGTAGTCCATTTCTCCTTTTAGTTCTAACAGCCTTTCCTTCATGTGTTTGGATGCTTCTGTGTAAGTTGCATACATATTTATAACCATTATATCTTCTTGACTGATTGACACTTATACTACAATAGGGTGCCCTTCTTTGTCTTTTCAAACTGTTTTTGTTTTAAAGGGTATTTTCTCAGATATTGGTATCACAACTTCAGCTCCTTTTTGGTTCCTATTTGCATGGAAAACCTTTTTCCAATCCTTCACTTTTAGTCTATGTATGTCTTTGTCCATGAGTGGGATTTTTGTAAGCAAAAGATAGAGGGTTTCTGTTTTTTTATCCATTCAGCCAGTCTCTGTCTCTTGATTGGAGAATTTAATCCATTCACATTCAATGTTATTATTGGTATACTGGACTTGCTCCAATGTTTAAGTTGACCATTGTCTTGGTTGTCCTTTATTACTTTATTTCTGGGTGTTCATTCTTTAGTTTTCCTGGAACAGTACTCTTCTTGAAGAGCTGGTGTGGTATTGGCAAATTCTTTCAGGTTTTGTTTGAGAAGATTTTAATCTTTTTTTCTCATTTGAAGGGTAATCTGGAAGGCTATAATAATAAGCTCAGTTGAAACTGTTTCTCTCTTATCACTTTCAATATGTCTTCCCATTCTTTCCTTTATTGCATTGTTTCCATTGAGAGGCCCAAAGTTAGCCTGATGGAATGACCTTTGTATGTCACTTGTTGTTTCTCTCTTGCCAATTTTAGTATTTTGTCTTTATCTGTGGTCTTTTCTAGTCTGCATAAGATGTGCATTGGGGAAAATCTTCTGGGGTTGATTCTATTTGGAGTTCTTTTTTATCTTTGCTCTGGGTGTTTAAGCGCCTCTATAGACTTAGAAATTTTTCTTCAAGGATTTAATGGAATATATTTTCCATGTCTTTGTTAGTTTCTGAGAAACCAATTATTTGGATGTTTGGGTGTCTAATGGAACTTAGTATTTCTTGTATATTATCCTTGTGTGTTTTTTTTTTTTGTTATTTTCTCTATATTTTTGGTGGCTTTCTCTAGGTTTTATATTCTACATAAGAGACTCAATCTTCAGCATGGTCTAATAGACTTTTAATACTTTCAACAGAGTTATTGATTTCCTGTATTACAAATTTCATCCCTAATACTTCCATCAGATTGTTTCTTAGAGTGCCCGTATCTTCTTTTATATCAGGGAAGAACTTTCTAATTTCCTGTAGTTCATTGTGTCTTTTCTGTTTCAACTCATAGAAGTTTTGTGCCATGCATGGTCTGAATTCTTTCTCTGACATTTTGGTCACATCTCCTGTTTATTCAAGAGATAAAGTGAAGTTACTGTGTTCTTTTGATGGAGATGTATTTCCTGCTTTATTCAGATCAAAGGTTCTTTTACTTCTAGTCATTGGGAGATCTATTCACTTTTAATAACTTATAGGAGAATGTTTCTTCAACTAGGATCAAGTGTGTTTCTTTTTTTCTGTGAACTGTTGTGTGCTGAATCTCTCCTCTGCTGTATTTAGCAATGGGGTCTCAGGAGGAATATTCTATTCTGGTGTCTGAAGAGCAGTACCTTCTTTGTTGTAGGTGGTATAGTAAAAGAAAGGATCCCGTATTTCAGAACTGTGACTGTAGATCTCTCTATTTCCTCTAGGAGGATGGAGAATAAGTAGGAGAGGACAATATAAGAGGAAAAAATATATGAAAAAAATAAAGAAAAAGTGGTGGGCTGTGAGCTAACATGGTATGCCATAATACTGTGGGGCAGTAGATGAAACTAGGATGCTGCTGGCAAGCAAGCAAAGGCCAGTCTGTGGGGCAAATACAGGTAGGAAATTAGCAAAAGAAAGAAGAGAAAAAACCTGCCTAACAGGCTGAAGGACTGAACGATGGGATGGGAAAGCTAGATGGAACTGGGTAGGGCTAGGGCCAGTGGCAACCCTGCATAAGAGCAAGCACAGGCCAGTCTGTAGAACAAAGAGGGGTAGGTAATTATGAAAATAAAGAAAAAGGGGCAAAAAACAAAATGCCTACCAGGCTAAAGGAATGGGATGGGGGAAGCTAAGGGGAGCTGGAGGGACTAGGGCCAGTGGTGACCCTACCTTAAGTCCCTTATTGGCCATGAAGCAGTAAATTAAACTAGGAAGGTACTGGAGAGCAGGTAGAGGCCAGTCTTTGGGGAAAGCAGGAGTAAAAAAATAGCCAAAGAAAGAAGAAGGAAAAAAAAAATCCTGCCTACCCAGGGTGAAGGACTGGGCAATGGGATGGGGAAAGCTAGCTGGAGCTGAGGATGCCAGGATCAGTGGTAGCACAGTCTCAGAATCCCTTGCTGAGCATGGGCAGTAGATGAAATTGGATTATTGATGGCAAGCAAATAGAGGCCAGTCTGAGAGAAAAGGAGGGGTAGGAAATTAGCAAAAGAAAGAAAAAGATTTAAAAAATAACAAGCTAACTGGCTGAAGGACTGGGCAATGGAATTGAGGAAGCTAGCTGAAGATGGAAGGGGCTAGTGCCAGTGCTGGCCATTCCTCAGAGTCCCTTGCTGGCCATGAGGTAGTAGATGAAACTGGGACGCTGCTGGAAGCAAGTAAAGGACAGTGTGTGGGGCAAAAAGAGCTAGGAAATAGAGAAGAAAAAGTAAGAAAAAAAAACTGCCTAATCAGTTGAAAGACTGGGCAATGGGATGGGGTAGCTAGCTGGAGCTGGTAGCTAGCAGGGCCAGTAGTGGCCCTGCCTCAGAGTTCCTTGCTGGCCATGGTGCAGTAGATGAAACTGGTTGGTGCAAGTGGGCAACCAGAGACCCATTTGTGGGACAAGGTAGGGTCAGAAATTAGCATAAGAAAACAGAGGAAAAAACTTAAACCTGCCTACCTAGAGAAAGAATTGGACAATGGGAAGAGGGAAGCTAGCTGGAACTGGGTGGTGCTTGTGGTGTGAGATATTATAAAGACTGAGATCACCAAAAAATTAAAAATTTTAGGAGCCTTTATTCCTGGTCAGAGACTGCCAACCTGGCTAGGAGCTGCCACCCCTGCCACTGTCAGGTAGCATGTGGAATGACAGCCTTAATCCACAGTTTTGCAAAGAATTTAAGCATAAAAATCACAAGGAAACATTACACTTTGCAAAGGTTGGGGTGAGGTGTGTTGCAAGGGAGGAAGGGCTCCAAGGATTGCTATATTTCTTTACCAGTAGCCTCTTAGCAGTTTACAGAAGCAGAGCAGCATGTCCTTTGTTAAATGTAACCACATCCTTGATTTTCACTCTGCTCTATGGGGGGTGAAAGTTGAGGCAGGTCTGTGGGATGCATCTTAGACTCACATACACCATTTTTCTTATTAACTGTTTTAGTCCACCATATTTCCCACTGGCTTTTTCCAAGATTCAAATCTTTGAATCTCTTTATTGTACCAGAATGGGAATAAGAAGAAGAAGAAGAAGAACTTATAATTATTAATTGTTAAATCAGTTTTCTTTATTTTTTTTTTCTCACCTATAACCTCTTTTTGAGTTGGTTTAAACTTTATCATCCAAGACTGGTTGGTGTAAAATCAGCAAGATTTATTTAATGCCAAACATAGACCTCTCTGTTTTAAGAACAAGAGGTCCAAGTCTCTTCTATTTTATTTTATATTTTGTAGGTTTTTCTTTTCCTGGGCTGAGAGGGCCTTTAGAGTTTTGTTTTCTTTTGGCCTCCCTCCCCAGAGTAACAGGCTGTGGATTAAAGTCCAAAAGTGTGGGGGAAACTCAGAGTTCTGAAACAACCTAGAACTTATGCAGGGGGATGTGTCATTTGTCAGTCCCAATGAGGGTCATCCTTTTTACTTGGGTGTGGTGAATCCAACGTCGCTCTCTGGCAACTTGACTATAATTGGCATAGTCAGGATGACAGTCTAACAGGTCTCCAGTGAGAAAGGTTCTTGCTTTCAGATTCAGATCAAGTCCCCAGGCTGTAGGTCACCAGTGGGCGTCAGCTAGGTTGAAGACCTAAAGGCTGGTAAGCTTCCTGGAGAAGGTGTTGTGTCTGTTTCTGATATCTATAGTGCTTGCAGGGACTTCAAAAGGGCATGGTTATAAAGTTCCCCTTTTATCTCCTCATCAATCTTGAGTACAAGTGGAGGCATCCTTTCAAAATTGTTTTTTTTCAAATATTATTTTAAAGAGAATCACTCCTACACATAAGGGGTGCAATGTGCACACAGAAGGGCAATGGAAGAAGACTCACCCAGTTTTTAACCAGTCTCCAATTTCAACTTGGTTAAAGCCTTTTTAAGCATCCTATTTATTTTCTCTACTTGTCTAGAATTCTGAGGTTGATAGACAGAGTGAAGATTTTGCCAATAACTGAGTAACATGCCAGGCCATTGTTGGACCCCAGAGTTATTGTTATAACCCAAAATGTGGGACAATTTTAGACAATAATTAAGCAACTACCTGTGCTGTCTTGGACTTGGTGGGGTATGCCTCTGGCTAACCAGAGAAAGTTTCTATGAACACCAGCAGGTAGTGGTATCCTGCCAACCCACAAAAGAGTTCAGTGAAATCTACTTTTCAGTGTTCTTCAGGGTTCTGTCCTCAAAGTTGGGTCTCATAGTATTAAGGAACTGACTTTCCATGGTCTACTTGAGCACAGATGGGACATCTTCTAGCTGTGTCTTTGGCAATGTTTGCCAGTCCAGGAAAATGATAGTCCCTCTTGAGAAGTCCTATTACCTTTGTTTCTTTAGACAAGTGTTCTGATGGATTAAGGAGATGAGGCCATATCCTAGAGCTTCTGGGAAGAGAGTCACCCATCCATCAAGCAGGTCTTTCCATCCCTCAGGTTGATCTATGGCACCTAGGGCATTGACTAATTCTTCTTTCCTCCAGAGTGTATCTGGGCTTTTCAGCAAAGGTTCAAGGAGGAATCCTGGAGAAGATTTGCAGGGGTCCCACTGGCTTTAGAACAACATCTGTGGCTACCCTGTTTGTGAAGGCAATTTAGCCATTGTGATGCCATTGAATCTAGCCTCTTGGATAAGTAGGCCATAGGCCACTTTCATTGTCCCAGAGTTTGCATTAGGACCCTTTTCAAGATGCCCTTTGACTCAGCAATGTATGGTTGGAATGAGTTTGAGATATAAGGGAGGCCTAAAGCTGGTTACTCTCCAAAGCAGTCTTCAGGGTCTGGAAAGCTCATTCCTATACCTTCATCCCACTCCAGTCTATATCCTTTCCTCACCACATCATGGTATAAAGGGATCTGGCTATTTGGACAGTCCAGAATCCAGAGGTGGCAATATCCATGACACCAAAGAACTCTTGCACCTGTTGCTTTGTGGTCAGAGTGAGGATGTTCAAGATGGCTTGGATGTGGCCTGAAGAGAGTCCACTTACCTACTTACCTCCCTCCAGAATGTATCCCAGATATGTGGCCTGAGGGGTGCAGAGCTGGGTCTTCTTGGCTGAACCTTAATACTTGAGGTCTGCCAGAGTCTACAGCAGGGACTGTGTGGCCTGGAGGCATTGGTCCCTTGTCTCAGCTGCCAGAAAGAGATTGTCTACATTTTCCCAGATTGGGTCATCTCAGTTTTCTGCTCGGTGGTTCCTTGACCTCCCTGTCCCTGCCATGTGGACCTTCTTGATTTTGTATTATCTTTTGAGTTTAGACAGTCTCTATGTCCTGTCAGTTATTGAAGACTTTCTGAGCTATCTCCACAAGTTTGAATAATACTTTTCCCTCAAATCCCTCTAACTTTTGTAGTTTTCTCCTAATGTCTGGGGCTAACTGGGTCAGAATGAGATGCTCATTGCTCACCTGTTCTCTGGGGACTCCAAGTTCATGGGAGTATAGTGCTGATAGGCCCCAAAGAATCTCTCTAGAAAGGCCGTGGGAGACTTCCTTGGACACTGCATGCCTTAGGTTGATGGGCTTCCCTAGCACTACTCTAACCCTGCTCAGTGGAGGCTAGCAATACCCATTGACAGCCTCCTTACCATAATTTGTGTTGATCTAACCATCTGGACCCAGAACAAGTTTCCAAGATTCCACCTTGATTTATTCTCTTTTCTCTGATGTGAATAAAGTCTGGAGAAGTTGCTGACAGTTGTCGTAGGTCAGCTGGTGGGTAAAACAGACTCCAAAAGAGAGATGAGCCCTGGAGGATTTGTGGGAAGGAAGGGCTTTAATTTTTCCCATTTTACAGAACTAGTTTAAAAGGGGACATAGATTGGGAGTTTCTCCAAGACCGGTTATAGTTCTTTACCAGATAAGAATGACCTGACAACACATACCACTTTACTCTAATTTTTTTACCAAAGTGCTACTGCATTTGTATCTTAAATAAGTCCAGCCATTTTGCAGCTGCAGCCAAAGGTCTTCATGGGCATCAGGAACATGAATTTTTCCTGTCATGATGATACACAGGTCAAAGTGCATATACCCTATAGGGTAGGGTAAAGGCAACACAGAAATGTTGGTGCATGAGCAGCACCCAATGGGGCACCTGCATAGGTGGGATGAATTTTTCATTTGATTTCATTGAAAAATTCATCCCACTGTTACTTCAGACCTGCTTCTGGGCCTACACTCTGAGAATTCAACTAGAGAACTTTGGCCCTCCAAAGTACCTGATTCAGCCCCCCCTTCATTCTGAGCTTTGGGGGATGACCATAAGTTTTGTTCTGTCTCAGTGAATGGTGCTATATCAAAAGGAATAAATTTTTGTACTCTAGAATTGAGCAGTTAAGACACTCTTAAACATTTCATTTAGTACCTATGTAGATTCTCTTTCATACAGCTTAGATTAAATCCCCTCTAGAGGTGTAATTAATGACATCTGTCTGAACTCTCATAGACAATGTGTCAGACTCATCGGGCTGTGAATAAATCTAAAGTCCCCTCTGGGGACCAGTGCACCTCAAAGCTTGGCTATTTTAGTTGGCAAAATTTTCCAATTCAAAAAGGATCATAGTAAACCCATAATCCTTCCCCTACCTCTTAAAGTATTTTAAATTGTCCAGAAAGCAATTGAGGGGAGTCTAATGAGAGGAAATTCTCTAGCCCATACTTGTTGCTTGACTAGATAGACTTTGACAACAATAAACAACTCACTAGAGGGTTAATCCACAAAACAAACTAGAGGAGGTGATACTGAACTATAATAAACAACATGAGAAATATGACACCAATTGCCCCATAGAAGAGACAGAACTGACCGTTGGCCCCTGGCCATCACCATGGCATGGGATGAAACCTAGGACCAGCCATGGGGAACAACGGGGCATTCAGCTTCTAGTGGGTCTTCTCAAACACAAGGTAGGAAATGGCAAATGTCTCAGTCCCACACTGGCAAAGAATAATATGTTTCAGGTTATCCCAAGCAGAAAACAACTTTCTTCCCTGTGTCCATTGTCACAACACAGGATCAATGGTCCTGTCTGCTGAATGGGACCAAACTCAGAGTCTGGCATATGATGCTACCTCCAGCTCTATCCAATGAGTCTCTCCCTGGAGGCTCTAGGTTCCAAGCCCTCTTTCTGTGGCCAGTCACTTCCCTGAAGCCCACTTCCCATTAAGTGAACACCCCCCCACCCCAGGCTTACTCCTGAGCTGCACAGAGTTGGGAGGCTTAGTAGATAGATACACAGAACAAAGGGCTGACAAAGAAGAAGACAGACAAAGGCTCAGATACTTCAATTTAATTTTAAATTTTGCTTTTACCAGTTTTCTTGGGCCAGACAGTTTTCAACCTGGGGCCATGGAATATTCCTTGGAGGCCTTCCAATAGTGGAAAAATCTATTCTGATCCCAGACTCCTGAGAATGGTCTGGTTCAGTTAAAGTGGTGAACAAGAGGCTCTCCAGCCAGTGGCTTGGCAAATCTTTGTTCACTGGACCCAACAGGCCTGTACCTTAACTGACTGCCCAATCTCAATACTCTCATTTCCCAGATAGGCCTTTCTACAACAGGAGCAGCAATCTGAACTAGGCAGAGATCCCACAAAGATGGGAGATCTTGGTTCTTCCTTCCCCGAGTGCCTTCCCATTTCAAGAACATGGTAGTCTCCCAAAGAAGAGTGCATTGGAGAAATCCTGAAACTGAGGGCAAAGAGGTTGAGGGGAAAAAGGTGAGAGGATAAAATGCTTGCCCTGTAGTCACTCAAAGATAAACCAACTAGAAAGTCAAAGAAGACCTCTTACTGGTAGAGAAGACAAGACCCAGTGGAGTGACAGAGCCAACAGAGAGTCACACAGACATACAGATCCAACACAACCTAAGCAATCTGCTCCAAAAGTAGTGACCCCCAACTCCTAGGACAAAGGACCATCTTGACATGAATAAACCCCATCTCTATAAAAGGCAAGGAGAGCAAGAAGAGAGACTGAAAGCTGAACTCACACGCAGACAGATGATCAAAGTGTTCTCTGGGCTTCTCCTCCATGTCCGAGGGTTTGGCAATGGCCCAAATGCCAGCCAGAAAATCCAGACAGAATTCTCAGTGTCCTTATAAAGTCAGAGACAACTTCCTGAAACTGTGGCCAGAACTCTGTTGGCCCTCAGCCAGGGCCAATGCCCCATACTGAACTGGATGCCTCTGATCTTGCTAGGCCCTCCAATTAATGTGGTGCAAGATATTGAGAAGACTGAGACTACTGAGAAATTAAAGTTTTAGGAGCCTTTATTCTTAGCCAGAGACTGCCATTCTGGCCAGGGAATACTGCTCCTGTCACTGGCAGATAGCATTTGGGTTGACAACCTCGATACACAGCTTTGCAGAGCATTTAAGCACAAATGCAACAAGGGAACATTACACTTTGCAAGGGCTGGGGTGAGGTGAATTGCAAGGGAGGAAGGGCTGCAAGGATTGCTATATTTCTTTACCAGCACTCTGTTGGCAGTTTACAGAAACAGAGCAGTGTGTGTTTGTTAAATGTAACCACATCTTTATTTTGTACTCTGCTCTATAGGGTGGGTTGAGGCAGGTCTTTGGGATGCATCTTAGCCTCGCATACACCATTTTTCTTATAATCTGTTTTAGTCCATCACACTGGATGGTGCTAGAGCCAGTGGTGGCCCTTCTCAGAGTCCCTTGCCAAGGTGCAGTAGATGAAACTGGGATGCTGCTGGCACATAAGCAGAGGCCAGTATGTTGGACAAGGAGAGTAGGAAATTAGAAAAAGAAAGAAGAGGGAAAAATACATACCTTGCTGAAGGATAGCACAATGGAATGGGGTAACCAAGCTGGAACTGGGTGGGGCTAGGGCCAGCGATGGACTTGCCTGAGAGTTCCTTGCCTGCCACGGGGCAGTAGATAAAACTGGGATGCTGCTGGTGAGCAAGTAGTGACCAGTCTGTGAGGCAAGGAGGGGTAGGAAATTAGCAAAAGAAATAAGAAAAGTAAAATCAAGCCAAACTGTCTACCTGACTGAAGGAATGGGTAATGGGATAGGGGAATCTAGCTGGAGATGGCTGGGGCTTGGGCCAGTGCTGGCACTGCCTTAGATTCCCTTGTTGCCAATGAAGCAGTAGATGAAACTGGGAAGCTGCTGGTGAGCAGGGAGAGGCTAGTCTAGGGAAAGCAGGGGTAAAAAAAAAGAAACAGCCAAAGAAAGAAAGAAAGAAAGAAAGAAAGAAAGAAAGAGATATAGAGAGATAGAGAGAGAGAGAGAGAGAGAGAGAGAGAGAGAGAGGAAGAAAGAAAGAAAGAAAGAAGAAAGAAAGAAAGAAAGAAAGAAAGAAAGAAAGAAAGAAAGAAAGAAAGAAAGAAAGAAAGAAAGAAAGAGAGAAAACTGCCTACCTGGATGAAGGACTGGGCAAGAGGATGGGGTATCTACATGGAGCTGAGAAGCCAGGATCAATGGTGGCACAGCCTCAAAGTCCTTTGCTGGTCATGGGACAGTAGTTGAAACTGGATCATTGCTGGCGAGTAAGCAGAGGCCAGTGTGGGGGAAAAAGGAGGGGTAGGAAATTATCAAAAGAAAGAAGATTTAAAAAACCTGCCTACCTAAAGGACCAGGCAACAGAATGGTAGAAGCTAGCTGGAGAAGGGAGGTGCTAGGGTCAGTGGTAACCCTGCCTCACAGTTCCTTGCTTGCCACAAGGCAGTAAATTAAAATGAGTCACTGCTAGTGAGCAAGCAGAGGACAATTTGTGCAGCAAGGAGGGTTGGGAAATTAGCAAAAGAAAGAAGAGCAAAACAAAAAAATGTCAATCTGACTGAAGGAGTGAGTAATGGGATAGGGGAAGCTAGCTGAAGATGGGTGGGACGAGGGTCTGGAGGCACTGCCTCAGAGTCCCTCATGGCCATAGGGCAGTAGATGAAATTGGGACACTGCTGGCAAGCAAGCAGATGCCTGACTTTGGGTCAAGGAGAAATAGGAAATTAGCAAAATAAAGGAGAAGAGGTTGAAAAACAAAACTGCCTACCTGACTGAAGGACTGGGCAATGGGATGGAAGAAGCTAGCTGGAGATGCATGGTGCTAGGATCAGTACTGGCCCTGCCTCACAGTCCCTTGCTGGCCACGGGACAGTAGATGAAAATGGGACTTGAAGGCAAGCTAGCAGAGGCCAGTCTGTGAAGCAGGAGAGGTAGAAATTAAGGAAAGAAAGAAGAGAAAAAAACAAACAAACAAAAATACAGCTTACCTATTGAAATGATTGGGCAATGGGATGGTTTATGCTAGCTGAAGCTGAATGAGGCTAGGGCCAGTGGTTTTCCTGGGTCAGTGTCCCTTGCTGGCCATAGAAAGTAGATAAAAATGGGATATTGTTGGCTAGCAAGCAGTGGCCAGTCTGTGGGGAAAGGAGTGGTAGAAAATTAGAAAAGAAAGAATAAGATATAAAAACCAAAACTGCCTACCTGAATGAAGGACTGGGCAATGCTAGATAGGACTGGGTTAGACTAAGGCAAGTAGTGGCCTTGCCTCAGAGTCCCTAGCTGGAAATAGAGCAGTAAATGAAACTGGGATGCTGCTGGCAGAGGCCAATCTTTCAGGCAAGGAAGGTTAGATAATTAAAAAAAAAAAAAAAAAGAGGAGAGAAAAAAAATAAAAATGACTACCTAACTAAGGACTGGGCAATAGGATGGAGAAGCTAGCTGGTACTGGGTGGAGGTAGGGCCTGTGATGGTCCTGCCTGAGTTGCTTACTGGCCACTGGGTAGTAGATGAAACTGGTATGGTGCCAATGAGCAAGCTGAAGACAGACTGTGGGTTAAGGAGGGGTAGAAAATTAGCAAAAGAAAGAAGCTGTAAAGAAACAAACAAAAAGCAACTGCCTACCTGGCTGAAGGACTGGGCAATGGGATCAGAAAAGCTAGCTGAAGCTGGGTGTGGCTACACTAGTGGTGACCCTGCCTCTGAGTCACTTACTGGCCACTAGGCAGTAGATGAAACAAGGATGCTATTGGCAAGCAAACAGAGGCCAGTCTGTGAGGCAAAGAGGAGTAGGAAATTAGAAAAAAAGAAAAAAGAAGAGGAAAAAAAAATGCCTGTTCAGCTGAAGAACTGGGCAATGGGATGGGGGAAGCTAGCTTGAGCTAGGTGAGACTAAGGCCAGTGGTGGCCGTGCCTCTGAATTCATTGCTGGCCATGAAACAGTAGGTGTAACTGGAATGCTCTGGTGAGCAAGCAGAGGCCAATCTGTTGGGCAAGAAGGGGTAAGAAATTAAAAAAAGGAAGAAAAGAAAAAAAAATGCCTACCTTGGTAAAGTATAGGGCAATGGGATGGAGAAGCTATCTGGAACTGAGTGGTGATAGAGCTGGTGGTGGCACTGCCTTAGAGTCCCTTGCAGAACACAGGGCTGCAGATGAAACTGGAACACTGCCAGTGAGCAAGCTGAGGCCAGTCTGTGGGGAAAGGAGGGATAGGAAATTAGCAAATGAAAGAATATGAAAAGAAAATTCAACCTGGCTGAAGGACTGAGCAATGGGATAAGGAAAGCTAGATGAAGCTAGGTTGTCCCGACCCACAGGACAGTGAAACAGGTTTCCTGAGGGAAGGGGTGAGAGACAGGAAAAACGGCAGTGTTACAACACGGAGACAACACAGTGTTACAACTCTTCAGGGTCATCTGTTTATTGTGGGCAGCACAGAGACAACACAGTGTTACAACTCTTCAGAGTCGTCTGGAGATTGTGGGCCAGGATCATGGTTATATACATGTTGGTGGGTGGTGATTGGTTAAATGAAGGATTGTAAAAGGTGGGTTATGATTGGTTGCTTTTGTGGACCAATAATGAGGTACCAGAGATGCAAATCTGAGGAATTCTAGTGGCCAATCAGAGTATTGTTTTGAAGATGAAGTTTTGAAGGGGAGCCAATCATGTCTTTTGTCATTGTGTAATTGTTTGCTTTCTGAGCCTAAGATGGCAATAGTAAGAGATTCATGGAAATGGCCTTGGCAGACTCGCTGGTGCACAGCCTCCCACATGTCCCCCTTTTCTGTTTTAATTTGAGAGATGAGGAAAAGGCCTGGGGGAATTGTGCCTGTCTTAGGTTAGAGTCATTTATGGAACTGTACATCCATTCTTACCCATCATTGGAGAGTTCCATAGCTATGATGGGCTTCCTGTCTTAGGTGGAAGGACTGAACAGTTATTGGGTTCATCAGACTCTCTTACCGATCTTTGGCTAACCAATTCAGCACCTCAGGTGAGACCAGTATAGGGGTGTTGGTCTTCTATCTCCAATCTAGTATAGTGGACCTGGAGAGGCCACATACTAAGTGAGTCAATTTGTTGTTTGAGGAATTATGTGAGCCCATTAAATATAACAGGTCCCAGTGAGCAAACAATTAAAAGGCCAATAGGCCAATGAATGGGCCAAGTATGGGGAGCAGGAAAGGCAGGAGACTGTTCCAGGCAGACCATAAGGGACTGTCACGAATGATGCTGGACTTGCTGGCATAAAAGCAGCAGTGTTCCTGTAAAGCAAGACAGAGACCCCCCTGTTCCACCAGGAGGAGTCGTGCCAGGATCGAAACCAGCAGCGGTAATGTTGAAGAAGCAAAACATGATCAAGTATTTAAGAAGGATCTTTATTTTGTTGATCTGTGGAAGGAGAGAGAGACATCTCAGGATTTTCATCATCCCTGGATGGCTTGTTAGAATCAATCTGCTTCATTAATCTTTCTGATAGCCACCGAGCAGCATCTATTTTTTGAGAATAGATGCAGACAGACCCTCTGCCCCAAATGAGGACAGGGTCTGGACCATTACATGTATTATCCAGGGGATCTTTCCACAAAACTGAGGCAAATTTTGTTTTGGTAGTTGAATGCCAGAAGCGCTCAGCAGCTGAGTCTCCCTCTTTATCAAGAGATAGGAAATTTAGGACAAAAAGAGCATGTGCCAGAAGGTTTTTTGGTGAGCCCTTAGTCTGTAAAACTCTCCCATTTTTAGCTTTTGGAGAGTATTTTTCAAGGAAAGATGAGCATGTTCAACAATGCCTTGTCCCTGGGGATTGTATGGAATTCCTGTTAACTGTCTGAGCAGAGAAATAATAGGAAGCAGTTCCATCGGAGAAACCATCAATAAAAACCAATAAAGCATTTGAAACAGGATGAAGTGAAATTTGTACAGGGAAAACAAAATCATGGGTAGATAAAAAATATAAAAATTTATCTAGAGGAAGATGGTTATCAATAGTTCCAGTAAAGGAAGCACAATGCAATAGGCCAGAAATCTGTTTGTTGGGCCCAGAACAGCCCTTCTTCAAGAGACAGAAAGCTCTATGGCTCCTGCGATCTAGCCATTTTGGGAGAAAGGAAGATGTCCCACTGATAACTGGGCCTTCAGCATACAAAACTCGTGTGGTAGGAAGACCCCTTTTAAGTGTCCTGTCTCTGTATCTGTCTTTGTCTCTCTCTACCTCCTCTGTCTCTGTCCTCTATCTCTCTCTTTTTTAATGTTTGCTTTTTAGAATTTTTTAAGGTGAGGCATTTTACAGGGCCCTTTGGCCCCTCCTAGCCCTTTATCTCGTTAATAATCTCTTCTCCTCCTCCCAACCCAGGAGTAAAAGAAGGGAACAGAACCGCCCTTCTTCAAGAGACAGACAGCTCCATGGCTCCTGCGATCTAACCATTTTGGGAGAAAGGAAGATGTCCCACTGAAAACTGGGCCTCATGCATGCAAAACTCATGTGGAGAGGCTGAAGGGAACAGAACCGCCCTTCTTCAAGAGACAGACATCTCAGAGTCTCCTTAGATCTTTGGTATTGTTTCCTTCTCTCTCCTTCCTTTTCTGCACTCTCCACGACCCTCAGATTGAACTTCCAAGCTTGGGAAGAAACTGACCATCCACCAGATGACTAGAAATTGCTGCAGGACCACAAGAAATATGGGGAATCAGGAAAATACCTCTCCCACAAGGGAAATGGATATCTCCTCTTTATCCACACACAGTTCAATGGAAATCATGGAAATGTCTGATAAAGAATTCAGAACATTCATAATGGCAAAGCTAACAGAGATGGAAGAGAAGAGAGACAAGGAACTGCTGAAGAGGAAGGAGAAAGGAGTTGAAGAGTTCCAGGAGGTAAGGAAATTCATGCAAGATCTAAAAGAGGAATTTCACACTTTACAAAAGAATCAGATGGAACTGTTAGAGATGAAGGCTATAATACAAGAAGTCAAAATCTCCCTTGAAAGTATTAAAAGCAGACTAGATCATACAGAAAATAGAATCTCTAATGTAGAAGAGAAAATGGTTGGCCTAGAAAAATCCACCGCGAAGACTGAGAAAATGGCCCAAAAATTTGAGAATAATATGCGAGAAGTACTAGATACCATCAAACGTCCAAACATCCGGATAATAGGCATCCCAGAAGGTGAAGAGACTCATAAGGGCATTGATAATCTATTCCATGAAATCTTACAAGAAAATTTTCCAAACCTGGAGAGGCACTCAAAGATTCAGTCCCAAGAAATACAGAGGACCCCAAATAGAATCAACCCAAGAAGATCTTCTCCAAGACACATTATAGCCAGATTGACCAAAACCACAGACAAAGACAAGATACTAAGACTGGCAAGAGAAAAAAGGCAAGTTACCTACAAAGGGTATCCCATCAGACTAACGGCAGACCTCTCATCGGAAACAATGAGAGCGAGGAGAGAATGGGAAAATGTATTCAAAGTATTAAGGGAAAAGCAATTTCAACCGAGAATTCTGTACCCAGCAAGGTTATCGTTCATTTGGGAAGAAAAGACACGAACTTTCCCAGATAAACAAAACCTGAAAGAATTTACCAGCACCAGACCGGATCTCCAAGAAGTTCTTAAGGGAGTGCTATGTCAGTAAAATTAAATGCAGACACACAGAAATAAGAGTTCAGAAACTAAGAAAATGGGCAACTTAATTGTAGGGCCAAAAGCTGGAGTTGAGTATTACATCCCAGATTTCAATCTGGAACATCGAACCTCAACAGATACAGAAGAAAGATTAAGTACATGAGACTGAACTGATGAAACAGTATTCTACGACTTGACTAAAATATTGCTGCTTTTCTTCTAAGCTTTGTTGTCTGGTTTTAAGGACTTTTGTCCTGTCTTCAGCTATCAATAGATTCATGTTCCGACTATTTGAACAGAATACTAACCTGTTTCTAGGCTTTAAGTTTCAAAGAAATATCCTTACCAGTTCAAAACTGCTTTTCTTGAAACCATCGGCTGATCTTGCTATTGAAAGTAGTTAGATTACTTATGATATTGTGTGACCAACGAAATGTTGGGGGAAAAGGGATTGAAGACAACTGTAGACAGCAGAGATAGTGTAATAAGAGAGTGGAATAGGGCAGAGGGTGTTCAGGGAATGAATGTAAATTTTTTTTTAAAATTCAGAGAAAAAAATACTAAAACTGTTACCAAAATTTAAAGAAAAAACTGTGTATTTGATGACCACAGTAAGCTATATAGCCCCAGCTAGGTACTATTTTATAGTATGTTCATTCTACTCACTGAGGTTTATGCCTAAAGTCAGACATGGGTTCTTGTGTATGTAAATATCAGCTGTGCTTGCTATTGCAAATATTTAGACAAATTAAGTTCATTAGCAAATCAAGGATAGGCATAGAAAGCAATCATGAATACCAGAGACAATGGGAGGAGGGTTGGACAGGGCAGAGGGTTAGGGATAGGGAATCAAGGATGGAAAAACAAAACAAAACAAAAACAAAAACAAAAACAAAAACAAAATGCAAAATAGACAAGACATAAGAAATGAAAAATTATTTGTTGATAACATGTATGTTGATGTGCTTGATTGAGCCAACAGACAGTGTATTGTGGATGAAAATTTCATTTTGTATACTGTAATGATGTATAGCATATTAATGCTAAAAAAAGAAAAATAAATCAATAAATAAAAAATAAAAGATCCTAAAAATAATCAAAATGAAGAAAAAGCAGAAATCTGTTTGTTGGAATAGCCAATTAACTTGGTCTTTAGTATACGGCTGGATGATTGTATCAGGGTCTTAGCCAAAATAAGTAATGCTTAAATTTTGAGCTATACTGATAATATCAGCTACAGCTTGATAGCAAGGGCATATGACCCTAGGATCAATAACCTGTATCACCAAAGGTGGTGCAGATGCAACCAAATTGTAAGATGGTGGTCATTTTTTGAAAGGCAGCCATGTTGAATTATTCTATTTGTTTGCCTTTGTTTCTAAAATTTTTCTTCAGGTGGCCATTTTGGATTATTGTATTTGGCTGCCTTTGTTTATAAAATTTCTTCTTCAAGCGGTCATTTTGGATTATTGTATTTGGCTGGACTGCCTTTGTTTGCTGAGAAACCGAAATCTAAAGATTTCCTTAAAATGGCAATAGTATAAGATTCATAAAAATGGCTTCTGCAGACTTGCTGGTGTGCAGCCTCCCACACTAGGTGGGACTAAATCCAGTGGTTGCCCTCCCAAAGAGACTCTTGCCAGCCACAAGGCAGTAGATGAAACTGGGATGCAATTGGGGAGCCGGTAGAGGGCTATCTAATGGGCAAGGAGGGGTAAAAAAAATTAGAAAATGAAAAAAGATTTGCTTCTGACTAGCAAACAGAGGACATTGTGTGGGCAAGAAGTGGTAGGACATGGGCAAAATAAAGAAGAGAAATTTAAAAACAAACAAACAAACAAAATAAATAAACTAAAACTGCCTGCTTGGTTGAAGAACTGGGCAATGGGGTGGGGAAAGCTAGCTGGAGTTGAATTGGCCTAGGGCAGTGGTAGCCCTGCCTCAGAGTCCCTTGCTGGCCATGGGGCAATAAATGTGCTTGAGTCACTGCTGGTGAGCAAGCAGAGGCCAATCTGTGTGGCAAGAGGGGTAGGAAATGAGAAAAATGAAGTTTTTTTTAAAATGCCTATTTGGCTGAAGGACTAGGCAATGTGATTGGGGAAGCTAGCTTCAGTTGGATGAGGCTAGGGCCAGTGGTGGCCCTCACTCAGAATCCATTGCTGGCCATGAAGTAGTAGATGAAACTCAGATACAGCTATCAAGCAAGCAGAGGTCAATCTGTTGGGTAAGAAGGGGTAAGAAACTAAAATAAAGAAGAAGAAAAAGCTAAAATGTCTACCTGCTACCTGGCTAAAGTACAGGGCAATGGGATGGAGAAGCTAGCTGAGTGGTGGTAGGGCCTGTGGTGGCTCTGCGTCAGAGTCCCTTTCAGGTCATGCGGCTGTAGATGAAACTTGGACACTGCTGGTGGAGGGACCAGCAGTTAGCATAATGGCTATGTTCCTGGACTCCCATATGGTTGACTGTGGTTCATGTCCCAGACCTGGTGGCTTAAACTCATGCCGGGTGTGTGTGCGTGTGTGCCCGAAATCCCAAGAGGAGAATGGAGGAGAAGGGATTGTGGCTGGCCATCCCCCCTGGCGGCTGATTTTCCTCTTTCTATCTCTCTGTCTCTCTCTGTCTGTCTGGTGAGCACGCATATCCTATAACAAAAAGCTCTTCACAAAAAAAAAGAAAAGAAAAGAAAAGCCTTGGACACTGCTTGTGAGCAAGCTGAGCTCAATCTGTGGGGCAAGGAGGGATAGTAAATTAACAAATGAAAAAGAACATTTGAAAAAAAAAAAAAAAGAAAAGAAAAAGCAAACCTGCCAAACTGTCTGAAGGACTGGGCAATGGGTTAGGGGATGTGGTTGTAGATGGGTGAGGCTAGGACCAGTGTTGGCCCCATGTCAGGTCTCTTGGTGGCCATGGTGCAGTAGATGAAAATGGGACACTTTGGATGAGCAAGAAAAAGGCAGCCCATAGGGCAAAAAGGGGTAGAAAGTTAGCAAAAGTAAGAAGAAGAGAAAAATTAAAAACTGCATATCTAGCTGAAAGACTATACAATAGGATGGGGAAGCTAGTAGGAGTTGGGTGGGGCTTAGACCAGTGGTGGCCCTACTTCAGAGTCCCTTGCTGGCCACTTGGCAGTAGATGAAACTGGGACTCTGCTGGCAAGCAAGCAGAGGCCAGTCTGTGGGCAAGGAGATATAGAAAATTAGCACAAGAAAAAAAAAAAAAAAAAAGTGCCTAACTGGTGGAAGGAATTTGGTTAGTTAGCTGGAGATGGTCCGGGCTATGTCCAGTGGCAGCCCAGCCTCAGTCCCTTGCTGGCCATGTGGCAATAGATGAAACTGGTACCCTGATGGTGAGCAAGCAGGACCCAGTCTGTAGGGCAAGGAGGGGAAGAAATTTAGCAAAGAAAGAAGAAAAAAAATAAATAACAAAACTGCCTACCTGGCTGAAGGCCTGGGCAATGGCGCAGGGGAAGCTAGTTGGAGCTTGATGGGTCTATGGCAGTGGTGGCCCTGCCTCAAAGTTCCTTGCTGGCCATTATGCAGTAGATGAAACTGGGACACTCCTGGCACAGGCCAGTCTGTGGGGCAAAAAGGAGTATGAAATTAGAAAAAAAAAAAAAAAAAAAAAAAGAAAGAAAAGAAAAAGAAAGTGATATTAAAAATAAATTTAAAAACAGCCTACCAGGGTGAAGAACTGGACAATGAGATGGGAGGAGGAGCTGGGTGGGACTGGGGACTAAATTTTCCCTGCCACAGAGTCCTTTGCTGGTTACAAGGCAGTAGGTGATATGGGACACGGCTGGCGAGCAAGCAGAGGCCAATCAGTGGAGCAAGGGGTCGGGGTAGAAAATTAACAAAAAAAAGGAAGAAAAAAAATGAAAAAAACAAACAAAAAAACAAACAAAATAACCATAAAACAAAGCAGCCTAGGAGGCTGAAGAACTGGACAATGGGATGGGTCAAGCTAACTGAATTTGGGTAGGGTTAGGGCCAGTTGTGACTGTGCCTCAAGGTCCTTTGCTGGCTGCAATGCAGTAGATGAAACTGGGATGCTGCTGACAAGCAAGCAGAGGCCAGTCTGTTGGGCAAGGAGGAGTAGCAATTTAGAAAAAAAAAAAAAAGAAGAAGAAGAAAAAGAACCCAAAACTCCCTATCTGGCTGAAGAACTGAGCAATGAGACTGGACAAGCTATCTGGATTTGGGCCAGAGTAGGGATCAGGGAGGCCCTGCCTCAAAGTTCCCTGCTGGCCATGATGCAGTTGGTAAGCAAGCAGAGGCCAGTCTGTGGGGCAAAAGGGAGTAGGAAATTAGCAACAGAAATAAGAAGAGGAATAAAAAAACAAAACACATTACTTGGGTGAAGAACTGGACAATGGGATTGGGGAAGCTAGCTGGAGTTGGGTGGGGTTCGGGACTAAAGTTTCCCTGACACAAAGTTTCTGGCTGGTCACAAGGCAGTGGGTGAGACTTGGACACTACTGGATAGCAAGCAGAGGCCAGTCTGTGGAACAAGGTGGGTTAAGAAATTAGCAAAAGAAAAAAGAAGAGAAAAAAAATAATATTGCCTACCTGTCAAAAGGACAGGACAATGGGATGGGGGAAGCTAGCTTGATATGGGTGAGGCTAGGGCCAGTGGTAGTCCTTTCTCAGAGTTCCTTGATGGCTATGGCAGAGGAGATGTAACTGGGATACTGCAGGAAAGCACATAGAAGATAGTTTGTTGGCAAGGAATGGCAGGAAATTAGCAAAAGAAAGAAGAAAAAAATAATGCCTACTTATCTGAAGGACTGAGCAATGGGATGCGGGAAAACTAGTTGGAGCTGGGTGGGCCAGGGCCATTGGTGGCCCTGCCTCAGAATCCCCTGCCTACCACAGGACAGGAGATGAAACTGAGATGATCTGTTGGCAAGCAAGCAGAGGTTAGTCTGTGGGGCAAGGAGGAGTAGGAAATTAGCAAAAGAGAGAAAAATTAAAACAACCAGGGATCAGTAGTTGGCATAATAGCTATGTTGCTCAACTCCAATGTAGTCAACTGTGGTTTGAGTCCTGGACCAGGTGCCTTAAACTCACATTGGGTGCGTGCCAGAGACCCAGCTGGGGTGGGTTGAGGCTCGTACACAGGAAGGCAATGCAGTTGAGCAGGAATCAAACTGAGACCTCAGTGCCTTTCAGCATATTCTCAGCTGAGTATAGTCAGAGCAAGCTCAAGACTACAACCTCAATGGCTAGAAGACATATGTATTTATTATTGAAGGAGTTTTACAGGAGGAGGGGTGAGGGGCAGTAAAAGATTTTACTCTAAAAAGTAAACTATTCAGAACATTGGAACAATAATCATAAAATATGATGTTTGTTTTGTTTAGGTATAAACAGTCATAATCCTCAGAATGAGGGAGTCCTTTTGTCTGGTGCATTCTCTCCTCAGATCTTGATTACTGGGAAAGGTCTTTTGGATGAAGGGGCTCCAAGGAATATTGATAACTCCGGTCCCAGGCCAGCTTGATAACTTCAGCCCCAGACCAGTTTGAGAACTTGAGCCCCAGGCCACTGCGAGAACTTCACCCTCAGGCTAGGGTGGCAGCAGATTGCCAGTTACAAAGGACTAGATAGAAATCCTGTCTGGTTAAGTAGACAAGGTTAATATATACTAAAGTGGAATACCTGCATTATCTCTGGGGTAAGAAGTTTAATGACTGACCTAAAGTTATTGTGTACTTGTGACCCTCTACATGTTATTCTATACAATGGCTATGGCTCAGGGAATAGCAATCTTTCCTTGTCCTGAGATCAAAGGTGACCCATGTTCTTTGTTTGGGGTAATAGTACCTTGTGGATGAGTCCCTGGGCCCCTCCCAGCTACTGAGATCATTTCACCAATTTAGTTGCTTTAACCTGAACCTTTCTAATGCTTATCTATGTAATCCCCAGTAGGAGAAGTGAATACAACATTCTTTATTGACATTTTCCAGGCAGGTGGGGTGACTCTATATGGGAGTAATTCCCATTCACTGCCACTGCCTTAGGGATCTGCATTCCTTCAGGATTATTATAAAAGTTAAGGTAAGGCTGGGGGGGGGGTAAAATTTTACCTATATGGGATACCAGGGTACCATAACAACAGTAAAGCCCATGACAGAGATTTTGAAAAGACAAGCCAGTACAACAACATAGTTGATACCTTGAACTCATGGTTCCAGCCCTGCTTGCAGCTTCTTCTCAGCCAAGCCTTGCACAGACATGAGAGGCAGCGCACCTTGTTCTGCCTGTGTTAGCTGTATGGACTCCATCAGGTGCATGTATGTGTGTTCCCAAGATTTTCTTTTTTTTTTTGGAGAGGTTTTTGCTATAGGGTGCATGAGCTTGCCTGAAGGACAGAGAGAGACAAGGAGACAGAAATCGAGAAATAACTCTTCAGGGAAGATGGTCATGCCACAATCCCTTCTTCTCCATTCTCCTCTTGGGATCTTGGGCACTCACGCACACATGAGTGTGAGTTTAAGCCATCGGGTCCAGGACTTGAACTGCGATCGACTACATGGGAGTCCACCGCAAATGGCTACATGGGAGTTCAGCGACAGCCATTACGCTAACTGCTGGTCCCTGTTCCCAAGATCTTGAGAGGAAAAGGAGAAAGAATTGTGGCATGGCCACCTTCTCCTGTGGATGATTTCTATCTTTCTGTCCCTCTCTCTGTCTTTCTGGTGAGTGTACATGCCCTAGAACAACAACAACAACAAAAAACCCAAAACTCTCAAAAAGAACAACAGAAACAACAAAAAGTATAGCCTATCTGGCTGAGGAACTTGGCAATAAAATGGGAAAAGCTACATGGAGGTGAGTGGTGCTACAGTCAGTGGTGGTCCTTCCTAAGAGTTCTTTGCTAGCCAATGGGCAGGAGATGAAACTGGGACACTGCTGTTGAGCAAGCTGATCCCAGTCTGTGGGACAAGAATGGATAGAAAATTAGCAAAGTAAAGCAGAAAATAAAAAGAAAAGAAAATTGCCTATATGGTTGAAGAACTGGACAATGGGACATGGGAAGCTAACTGTAGCTGTGTGGAACTAGGACCAAGTGTGACCTTGCCTCAGAGTCCCTTTCTAGCCACAGTGCAGTAGACTGAACCAGGGTGCTGCTTGTGAGCAAGTAGAGGCCATTGTTGGGCAAGGAATGTTAGAAAATTAGTGAAACAAAGAAGAGAAAAAAATGTCCAAGTGTCTGAAGGAATGGACAATGTGTTGGAAGAAGCTGCTGGATCTTGCTGGTGCTAGGGCCAGTGTTGACCCTTTCTCAAAGTCCTTGCCTGTCTCAGCGCAGGAGAAGAAACTGGAGACGATGCTGGTGAGCAAGTAGAGTCCAGTCTGTGAGGCAAGGAGGGGTAGGAAATTAGAAAAAGAAAGAAGAAGAGGAAAAAAAAAATACTGTACATCTGCCTGAAGGACTAGGCAATGGGATGAGGGAAGCTAGCTAGAGCTGGGTGGGGCTCAGTCCAGTGGTGGCCCTGCCTTGGAATCTCTTGCCTGCCATAGGACAATAGACAAAACTAGGACACTGCTGGCAAGCAAGCAAGCAGAGGCCAGTCTGAGGGGTGAGGAGGGGTAGAAAATTAGCAAAAGAAAGAGGATTAAAAATTTTAAATATGCCTACCTGGCTGAAGGACTGGGCAATGAGATGGAAGAAGCTATTTGGAGATTGGGTGGGGCTTGGATCAGTGGCCCTTCCTCAGAGTTCTTTGCCAGTCATGGGTTAGTAGATAAAACTGAGATGCTGCTGTCAAGCAAGCAGGGTCCAATCTGTGCAGGCTAGCTTGAGTAGGAAATTAGCATAAGAAAGAAGAAGAGTCAAAACAAAGAAAACCACCTACCTGGCTGAAGGACTGGAAAATGGAATGGGAGAAGGTAGCTAGAGCCAGTCATGGCCCTGCCTTAGAATCCCTTGCAGGTCACGGGGCAATAGATAAAATGTGTAAGCTGCTATCAAGCAAGAAGAGGTCAGGTTATTGGGCAAGGAGAAGTAGGAAATTAGCAAAAGAGAGAAGAGGAAAAAAATGGCCTACCTAGTTTAAGGATGAGGGAAGCTAGCTGGAGCTAGGTGGGACTAGGGCAATTGGTGGTCCTGCCTCAGAGTCCCTAGCTGCTCATGAGGCAGGAGATGAAACTGGGTCGCTGCTAGTAAACAAGAAGACGCCAGTCTGTGGGGCAAGTAGGGGTAGGAAATTACCACAAAAAAGGAGTAAAAAGAACCAAAACTGCCTATCTAACAGAAGGACTGGGCAAAAGGATGCGGGAAGCTAGCTGGAGTTGGGTGGGGATAGGACCAGTGATGGCCATGTTTCACTAGAAGAAAGTGGGACTCTGCTAGTGAGCAAGCAAAGGCCAGACTCTGTGACAATGATGGGTAGAAAATTAGCACAGAAAGAACAGGGGGAAAAAAAAGGAAAATGCCTACCTGGTGGCAAAACTAAGCAATGTGTTGGGGAAAGCTAGCTGGAGCTGGATGGAACTAGGTCAAGTAGTGGCCCTGCCTTAGAGTCATGCTAGTCATGCAGCAGTAGATGAAACTGGGACACTGCTGGTGAGCAAGCAGAGCCCAGTCTGTTAGGCAAGGATGGGTAGAATATTAGTAAAAGCAAGAAGAATAAAAAACAAACAAACAAAAACAGTCTATCTAGCTAAAGGACTAGGCAATGGAATGGGACAAGCTAGCTGGAATTAGATAGGTCTAGGCCAGGAGTAGACCTGCTTCAGAATCCCTTGGTGGACACAGGGCAGTAGATGAAACTGCAATGCTACTGCAGAGCAAGCAGAGGCCACTCTGTTGGGAAAGGAGGGGTAGGAAATTAACAAAATAAGATTAAAAAAAATAAAATGCCTATCTAGCTGAAAAATTGTGCAATTTGGTGATCAGCGGTTAGTGTAATGGCTATGTCACTGGACTCCCACATAGTCGACCGCGGTTCTTGTCCTGGACCCAGTGGCTTAAAACTCACACCAGGTGTGTGTGCGTGTGTGCCCAAGATCCCGAGAAAAGAATGGAGGAGAAGGGATTGCAGTATGGCCATCCCCCCAGGGGGGAGGGGGTGATTTCTTACTTTCTGTCTCTGTCTCTGTCTCTGTCTGTCTGGTGAGTGCCTGTGCCCTATAGCAAAAAATCTCTAAAAAGTATAGTTGGGCAATTAATGGGAAAAGTTACCTGGAGCTGGGTGTGACTAGGTCTAGTGGTGGCCCTGCCTCAGAGTTTCTGGCCTGCCACAGGGCAGTAAATGAAACTGGGATGATGCAGGGGAGCAAGCACTTATCTAACAGAAGGACTGGGCAAAAGGATGCGGGAAGCTAGCTGGAGTTGGGTGGGGATAGGACCAGTGATGGCCATGTTTCACTAGAAGAAAGTGGGACTCTGCTAGTGAGCAAGCAAAGGCCAGACTCTGTGACAATGATGGGTAGAAAATTAGCACAGAAAGAACAGGGGGAAAAAAAAGGAAAATGCCTACCTGGTGGCAAAACTAAGCAATGTGTTGGGGAAAGCTAGCTGGAGCTGGATGGAACTAGGTCAAGTAGTGGCCCTGCCTTAGAGTCATGCTAGTCATGCAGCAGTAGATGAAACTGGGACACTGCTGGTGAGCAAGCAGAGCCCAGTCTGTTAGGCAAGGATGGGTAGAATATTAGTAAAAGCAAGAAGAATAAAAAACAAACAAACAAAAACAGTCTATCTAGCTAAAGGACTAGGCAATGGAATGGGACAAGCTAGCTGGAATTAGATAGGTCTAGGCCAGGAGTAGACCTGCTTCAGAATCCCTTGGTGGACACAGGGCAGTAGATGAAACTGCAATGCTACTGCAGAGCAAGCAGAGGCCACTCTGTTGGGAAAGGAGGGGTAGGAAATTAACAAAATAAGATTAAAAAAAATAAAATGCCTATCTAGCTGAAAAATTGTGCAATTTGGTGATCAGCGGTTAGTGTAATGGCTATGTCACTGGACTCCCACATAGTCGACCGCGGTTCTTGTCCTGGACCCAGTGGCTTAAAACTCACACCAGGTGTGTGTGCGTGTGTGCCCAAGATCCCGAGAAAAGAATGGAGGAGAAGGGATTGCAGTATGGCCATCCCCCCAGGGGGGAGGGGGTGATTTCTTACTTTCTGTCTCTGTCTCTGTCTCTGTCTGTCTGGTGAGTGCCTGTGCCCTATAGCAAAAAATCTCTAAAAAGTATAGTTGGGCAATTAATGGGAAAAGTTACCTGGAGCTGGGTGTGACTAGGTCTAGTGGTGGGGCTGCCTCAGAGTTTCTGGCCTGCCACAGGGCAGTAAATGAAACTGGGATGATGCAGGTGAGCAAGCACTGGCCACTTTGAGGGACAAGGAGGGGTAGGAAATTAGCAAAAGAAAGAATAAGATTAAAAATAAATAAATAAACCTGAGACCAGCAGTTAGCAAAATGGCTATGTCGCTGGACCCAGTGGCTTAAAACTCACACTGAGCACATGTGTGTGCATGCCCAAGATCCTGAGAGGAGAATGGAGGGGAATGGATTATGGCCATCCCCCCGGGGGGTGATTTCTTGCTTTCTGTTTCTCTGTCTCTCTCTGTCTGTCTGGTGAGCACACACGCCTTATAGCCAAAACCTCTCAAAAAAAAAAAAAATCTGCCTACCTGACTTAAAAAAACTAGGCAAAGGGATAGAGAAAGCTAGCTGGAGCTTAGTGGGGTTAGGGCCAGTAGTAGCCCTGCCTCAGAGTCCCCTGCTGGCTGGGGCAGATGAGATGAGACTTGGATGCTGCTGGTGAGTCAACATGGGCCAATCTGTGGGGCAAGGAGTTGTAGAAAATTAGCAAAAGAAAGAAGAAAAATTTAAAAAATCAACCTGCCTACCTGGTTGAAGGACTGGGCAATGGGATGGAGAACCTAGCCTTAGCTGGGTGTGGCTAAGGGACACAATCGGCCCCTTCAGAGTCTCTTGCTGGTCATGGGACCATAGATGAAACTTGGATGCTGCTGGCAAGCAAGCAGAGGATAGTCTCTGGGGCAAGGAACAGTAAGAAATTAGTAAAGGATAGAAGATAAGGGGAAAAAAAAAACTACATACCTGACTGAAGTCCTGGACATACCTGGCTAAAGTCCTGGACAATGGGATGGTGAAAACTAGCTGGAGCTGATTGTGGCTAAGTGCCAGTAGTGACCATTCTTCAGAGTCTCTTGCTGACCACGGGCTGGAGATGAAACTGGTATGCTGCTGGTGAGTTAACAGACCCAATCTGTGGGGCAATGGGGCCCAGGAAATTATCAAAAGAAAGAAGATTAAAAAAAAATAAAACTGCCTACCTGGCTGAAGGACTGAGCAATGGGATGGGTAAAACTACCTGGAGCTAGGTGGGGCTAGTTCCAGTGGTGTCCTTGCCTCTGAGTCCCTTGCTGTCTATGGGGAAGTGAAGATGAAACTGGGACTCTGCTGGTGAACAAGCAGAGGCTAGTCTGACTAAATGACTGGACACTGGGACTAGAGAATCTATCTGGAGCTGGGTGAGGCTAGGACCAGTGGTGGCCCTGCCCCAGAGTTCTTTTCTGGCCATGGGGACCAGTATATGAATCCAAGACACTACTTGTGAGCAAGCAGAGGCTAGTGTGGCTGAATTACTGGGGATAGAATGGGGGAAGCTAGCTGGAGCTGTGTGGGTCTAGGTCTAGAGGAGGCCCTGCCTCCCAATCATTTGCTGGCCCTGTGGCAGAAGGTTAAACTGGGCTACTGCTAGCAAGCAAACCAGAGGCTGCACACTTATTTAGCCACTCCAGGTGTGAGATTTTCTTACTTCCAATTTCCAATCCACCATTCTGGAAGGCATATGAAACATCCAGGCCCAACAACAAAATTTCAGGTTTAGGGTAATAGTCATTTAGACAAACCTGCAAAGAAATCACAGATCACATCCTCCTACATGCCTTTTAATGCTCAAAATCAACTCTAAGAAATAAAGATGAACATATAATTCATCAGATCACTAAAAACCAGCACAGAAGCACAAAAATATGAGAAACCAGGAAAATATCTCTCCCCCAAAGGAAAATAACAATCCCATATAATCTACAGACTGTATAATGAAGCTAATGAAGATGTCAGATAAACAATTCAGAATATTCATAGTGACAAAAGATGAGATACAGGAGTTAATAGATAATGAGTTCCAGAAGATACAAGAGAAAAGAGACAAGTCCAAAAGATAAGTCCTTTCATGATGTTAAAGATGAAATAGACACCATAAAAACAAATCAAGCAGAACTGTTAGTGATGATGGCTGTAATACAGGAAATGAAAATCTCTATAGAAAATATTAAAGAAGATTTAGATTATTCAGAAGATCAAATCTCTGATGTAGAAGACAAAACTCTGATTTTGAAACAGACTAAAAAGGCAGATAAAATGACACCAAAAAAAATGGTAATGTAAGAGAATCACTAGGCTCCATTATTCATCCAAACATCTAAATTATTGAAATCCAGAAAGGTAAAAACATTAATGAGGGTTTTGAAAACCTATTCCATATAATCCCAAAAGAAAACTTTCAAAGCCTATAAAAGTGTTTAAAAATCCAGACCTGATGAACTCTGGCACCAGCCATGGAGAGTTCAGGTGGGCCCTTGAAGGATGCCAACTTTAAAGTTACTAAACAACATATAGACTTTCAGCAGAAACTGAGTTGCCATGAATTCTGACTGTTGAAGATCTTTTAAATATTTATATGAGGAAGTGATGCTAAAAGTGGCAGATTATTCAAGCCAAGTAAAGAACAAATGCTTTGAAATGACAATTTTTCAGTTTCAGAATTTCTACAGACAGTTCAAGGAAATTGCTGTAGTTATCAATACTATCTGAAAACTAGTTATTTGGCTGAGAACTTTCTGTCATCATTCTGTACAAAGACTTCATTTTCTGGTCATATGGTATACAGATGAAATTATATTTATTTAATGAACTTACACATTATTATTTGAAATAATAAATCAAACAAACTGGAATTAGATAGTGATGATTCTGCAACATTCTGAGGGTACCATACAAGAATGAATTAAATGCTTCAATTGCTCTGTGTGGTTTGTGAATTATATTTTAATAAAAAAAGTCATAAGAACAGCTGAATGATTGATATGGAAGGACAAGTTTATGTATTAGAACAATAGTTCAAAAATGTTTTAGTATTGAAAATATTTTTAGAAAAAATATTACATAGAGTCATGTGTATAAAATATGTGTATTGATCCTTTGTGGTTCACAAGCATAAGTAGATTTCACACCACTTTGCGAGATGTGCCTTCCTCAAACCTTGTTAAAGATTGGCACTGTACCCATGTGAGATGAAAAATAAATAAATAAGTCATATGCATTAAAAATATACATATATATCTAGCCCCCAAAAAAGAAAGATCACAGATTTTCTCCATAGCATGTCATAACCAGATTGGCCAAAACTATAAAGACAAGCTACGAAAATAGGCAAAAGAAAAATGTCAAGTTACTTACAAAATTAAGTTATTTATCTCATAGGTGAACACAAGGCCTTTCATCAAAAAGAATGCAAGTATGGAAAGAATGTAGAAAAATACTCAAAATGTTTTTAAAAATTGCAACCAATATTATCATACATGGCTAAATTGTCTTCCATATGGAAAGAAAAGATAAAAATATTCTCAGATAGACAAAACCTGAAAGAACTTATCAACTCCAGAACAGCTCTTCAAGAAGTTCTGAAGGGAATGCTATACCAAGAAACTAAGGAAAGACGGACAGAAATTGGATCACAAAAATCAACCAAGAAAATGGCCAACTTTTTGGTAGGAATCATTCTGGAAATATCAATAAAATTTTAGATGTTTATGGTTTAAATTCTCTAATCAAGAGACATAGACTGGATGAATAGATTAAAAAACAGAAACCTGCCACCTTTAACATACAAGAAATAAACCACATGGACAAAGATAAACATAGACTAAAAGTGAAGATTTGGAAAAATGGGCTCCATGCAAGTGGAAAAAAAAAGTGGGAATCAGGATATTCATTCAGACAAAAAGAGAAGTTTAAGACAAAAACTCTAAAAAGAAATAAAGAAGGATATTATATAATAGTAAAAGGGATAACTCACCAAAAAGATATCATGCTAAGAAATATCTAAATACCCAGTACAGGAGTATCCAAATATGTGAAGAAAGACTGATAGATCTAAGAGGAGAAATAGAGTGCAACAGACTAATTGTTGGGGATTTCAATAGCCCATTAAATTCTTTTTTTTTTTTTTTTTTTTTTTTTTTTTTTTGAGAGTTTTTTGCTATAGGGCATGTGCACTCACCAGACAGACAGAGGCAGAGAGCAGAGAGATAGAAAGCAAGAAATCATCCTCTGGGGGGATGGCCATGTCACAATCCCTTCTCCATTCTCCTCTTGGGATGTTAGGCATGCATGCACATGTGCATGGTGTGAGTTCTAAGCCACCGGGTCCAGGATGTGAAATGCGGTGGACTATGTGGGAGTCCAGCAACATAACCATTATGCTAACTGCTGGTCCCTTAACTTCTTTAGACAGGTCAACAATACAAAAATTAGGCAAGTAGATTAAGGACCTAAATTATATAGTAAATTAGCTGTACTTGACATACATACATAAAACTCTCCACCTGAAAACAATAAAATATACATTTTTTGAGAGTTTTTTGCTATAGGGCAAGTGTACTCACCAGAAAGATAAAGAAAGGCAGAGAGACAGAAAATGAAAAATCACTCACACACACATCCGCCTCCTGCCCAATGGGGATAGCCATGCCACAATTCCTTCTTCATTCTCCTCTTGGGATCTTAGGCAATCACACACATGAGTCCCAGTGTGAGTTTAAGCCACAGGGTCTGGGACTCAAACCACGGGTGACTACATGGGTGCCCAGCAACATAGCCATTATGCTGACTGCTTGTAAAAATATATACATTTTCCTAGCCCTCATGTGGTACTGCCCCAAAGACTGACCATATAATAGTGCACAAAACAAGCCTAAGCAGATTGAAAGGCATAGAACTATACCAACATCTTTGCTGACCATGAAGGACTTAAACTTAATGTCAATTTTTAGAAAAACCCTCAAAAATACACAAATACATGAAACATAATTAACATACTCATGAATGACTTCATAACTACTAAAGAAATCAAAACTGAATAAAAATATTTATGAAAACTAATGAAGAGTACATGAATTTCCAAAATTTGTGGACCACCGCAAAAGGAGCCATAAGAGGAAAATTCACAGTAGTTAGTGTACATAAGGAAAGATGGCAAATGGAAAATGTAACATCATGCCTCAGGGAAGTGGGAAAACAACAACAAAAAAGTCCAAGAAAGCTAGGATAAAAGAAGTAATAAATATTTGAGATGAAATAGAAAATAAATTATACAGAAAATAAATGAAAATAAAAGCTGATACTTTGAAAAGATAAACAAGATTGATGCAGCATTACCTAGACTAATTAAGAAAAGAGACTGAACCACATAAATCAATTTGCAATGAAGCATGCAATATAACAAAAGGCATAAGTTTCTAAAAGCAAAGCTCAATTCCTGAGGATTTCACCTCTGAATTCTACAATCTTTTAAATTTCAAAGAAGAGGTTAAATGTTTTAATCAAATAGTTTCAAAAGAACTGAATGTAAGAAACACTCTCTAATTCATTTTTTGAATCCTCCATTACCCTCATTCCCAAAACAGATAAGAATATAAAAAAAGGAAAACTACAGGTCATGATCTCTGGTGAATATAGATATAAAAATTCTCAAGAAGAGAACAGCAAATTATATACAAATAGACATAAAATGATGATTCATCATGACCAGGTAGGTTTTATTACAGAAATGCAAGGTTGGCTCAACACATGCAAAACCATAAACATAGAAGGAAAGACTTTTTAAAATATGATTATTTCAATTAATATATAAAATATATTTGATAAAATACAAATACAATAAAAGCACCCTTTCATTATTAATACTGCCAGCAACATAGAAGGATAGTTTCTCAGCATAAAAGATACATAAAAATCTATAGCTAATGTTACACTGAATGGGGAAAAACTGAAGGATTTTCCACTAAAAACTGGACATGAAACAAGGCTGTCCATTCTTTCCACTCCTTGTCCATATATAGTTGAAAAGACCTGACTAATGCAATTAGAAAAATGAGAGTGATTTTGGGGGAAACAGAGAAATGAAGATTTCCCACTGACATTTTAGCCTCCAGTACACAAAACTTCCATGGTAGGAAGATCCCTTACAGGATGTCTCTGTAACTGTCTTTGTCTCTCCTTACCTCTGTCTCTGTCTTCTCTCTTCTCTTAAATTTTTTCTTTTTAAAAGTTTTTAAGATGAGGCATTTTATGGGCTTTCTGGCCCTCCTATCCCTTTATCTTGTTAATAATTCCCTCTCTCCCTCCCAATCCAGCAAAAAACGAAACAGGCCTTCTTGAAGACACACCTTCATGGATCCTGTAAACTAGTCATTTTGTGTGGTGCCCTTGCATGCCATACAGTTTTCTAATTTTTGTGTTCTATTGAAAATTGTTAAATATTGTTTTTAGTTTTATTTAAAAGTTTTTCTCTTATTTTTTTCTTCTGTTTTTCTCTGTTTCTTTCTCTTTTTTTTTCTGTTGTTGTTGTTTCTCTCTCTCTGTTTTCTTTTCTACATGCTCCTCAATGCTCAGATTGAACTTCCAATTTTGGGAAGAAACCGACCATTCACCAGATGATTAGGAATCACTGCAGGACCACAATAAATATGAGAAAACAGAAAAATACCTCTCCTCCAAGGGAAAAAGATAAGTTCTCTTTATCCACACACAGTTCAATGGAAATCATGGAAATGTCTGATAAAGAATTTAGAACATTGGGACCAGCAGTTAGCATAATGGTTATGTTTCTGGACTCCCATGTAGCCTACCGTGGTATGTGTCCCAGACATGGTGGCTTAAAACTCAGACCAGGTGCATGTGTGTGCATGCCCAATATCCTGAGAGGAGAATGGAGGAAAAGGGATTGCAACATGGCCATCCCACTAGAAATCGCTGCAGGACCACAAGAAATATGGGGAAGCAGGAAAATACCTCTCCCACAAGGGAAAAGGATAGCTCCTCTTTATCCACACACAGTTCAATGGAAATCATGGAAATGTCTGATAAAGAATTCAGAACATTCATAATGGCAAAGCTAACAGAGATGGAAGAGAAGAGAGACAAGGAACTGCTGAAGAGGAAGGAGAAAGGAGTTGAAGAGTTCCAGGAGGTGAGGAAATTCATGCAAGATCTAAAAGAGGAATTTCACACTTTACAAAAGAATCAGATGGAACTGTTAGAGATGAAGGCTATAATACTAGAAGTCAAAATCTCCCTTGAAAGTATTAAAAGCAGACTAGATCATACAGAAATAGAATCTCAGATGTGGAAGAAAAATTGCTGGCCTAGAAGAATACACCACAAAGACTGAGAAAATTGCCCTGAAATTTGAGAATAATATATGAGAAATACTAGATACCATCAAATGTCCAAACATCCAGATAATAGGCATTGCAGAGCGCAAACAGACTCATAAGGGCATTTATCATTTATTTCATGAGATCCTGCAAGAAAACTTTCCAAACCTGGAGAGGCACTCAAAGATCTATTCCCAAGAAGTACAGAGGACCCCAAATAGAATCAACCCAAGAAGATCTTCTCCAAAACACATTATAGCCAGATTGACCAAAACCACAGACAAAGACAAGATTCTAAGATTGGCAAGAGAAAAACGGCAAGTTACCTACAAAGGGTATCCCATCAGACTAATGGCAGATGCCTCAATGAGAGCAAGGAAAGAATGAAAAAAAAATATATTCAAAGTGTTAAGGGAAAGGCAATTTCAACTGAGAATACTGTACCCAGCAAGATTATCATTCATTTGGGAAGAAAAGACACGGACATTCCCAGATAAACAAAGCCTGAAAGAATTTACCAGCACCAGACCAGATCTCCAAGAAGTTCTTAAGGAAGTGCTATGTCAGTAAAATTAAATGCAGACACACAGAAATAAGAGTTCAAAAACTAAGAAAATGGGCAACTTAATCAAGTCTGGAGATGAATATTATATCCTAGGATTCAATCTGGAAGATCGAACCACAGGAGATGAAAGATGAAGTACATGAGACTGAACTGATGAAACATCATTCTGTGACTTGACTAAAATATTGCTGCTTTTCTTCTAAGCTTTGTTGTCCAGTTTTAAGGATTTTTGCCCTGTCTTGAGCTGTCAATGGATTCATGTACCTACTATTTGAACAGAATACTAACCA